ACACGGGCGGAGCCAGGGGGCGGCGGGGGCCCCCGGGGGGAGGGGGCTCCTCGGGGCCGGAGCAGCGCGTCCGCGTGGTTTCCTCGCGCGCCGGCGCGCGGAGCCGCCACTGACGCTCCGCTCTGAACGCAGTCTTCAGAGCGGCTGAGAGACGTGGAGGACGGCGGTCGTGACGGGAGCGGTAGTTCCTGTGGCAGACGCTGTCTGTCCGCGTCCCTCAGTCCTCACGGGGCGCCTGCGAGGCGGGTGCCGTTACCCGCGTCTCGTGCTTGCGCGGGCCTCAGGGGTGGAGTGTTGCCCGAGCTGGTGGTCGCCGCGCCGGCGCCGTCCTCAGTACCGTCCCCACAGCAGGCGAGGCCGCGGTAGTGGGGAGCCGTCGTCGCTGTCAACTTCCCTGTCTGCCCTGGTCCCACGCGACACGTGGACTACCTCGTTGAATTCTCTCGGCAGGCCTGGGAGGCAAGCGTGCCCCTGCGGCAGCGGTCGAGGGCGTGGGCTGGGGGATGTGCCTCCGTTTCTGCCGCGAAACGGCGTGCTGCCAGTCCCCCTCGGGGCTGTCGTGAGAATTGATGGGGAGCGCGCAGAGCGCTTGGACAGCGTCGGTCATGTAGAAGGGCGGTAAACGGTAGTTACCATCTTTGTGACTACTAGCTCCGTTTTTCAGATTTTGTACTATCACGGGAGAAAAAGTGAGATGTGCCACTCAGAGAAAACAGTTTTGGGAGGAGATATGATCCGAGTGAGCGGGTTTCTTATCTGCTTAATCAGCGCATTTGATGCGAGGATGGAACGCAGGGTATGTGGAGGAATGTAGTGCAGAGGGCTGCAGGCCCTGGAGTAATGTTCCATGGGCAGCCCTGCATTCAGTCCTGACTTTCGTGAGATCTGGACCTCAGACTGAATTTATGTGTGTTCTCTAGCAAGGCCTGGAATCCAGTTTTCCTGTGTTTTTGATTTAAAGTGAATCCAGGTATTTTAGAGAGTAAACAGTCATACAGTATGGTGGTGTGTTGGTTTCCAATTGCTACTGTTAACAAATTACCACCTAGTGGCTTAAACAATGCAAATTTATTCTCTTACATTTCTAAGGTCAGAAGTCCTAAAAATCAAGATGTCGTCAGGATGGGGCCGGCCCTGTGGCTTGGTGGTTAAGTGCGCGCGCTGCGATGCTGGTGGCCCGGGTTCGGATCCCGGGTGCGCATCGAGGCACCACTTCTCCGTTCATCCTGAGGCCGAGTCCCGCATACAGCAACTAGAAGGATGTGCAGCTACGACATACAACTATCCACTGGGGCTTTGGGGGGAATAAATAAAAAAAAAAAAAGGTGTCGTCAGGGTTTCATTCATTCTGAAGGCTCTAGGGGAGAATCTGTTTCCTCACCTTCTGTAGCTTCTAGGGGCCACGTTGGCCCCCTGCATTCCTGGTCTTGTGGCTCCTTCCTCCGTCTTCAAAACCAACAGGGTCACACCTCCAGTCTCTGTCTCTCTCTGATTCTGGCCCTCCTGTCTCCCTCTTATAAGGACCCTGGTGATTGCATTGGGCCTACCTAGATAATCCCCATCTCAAAATCTTTGATGTAATCACGTCTGCAAAGTGCCTTTTGCCGTGTAAGGTAACACAAGTTCCCAGGATAAGTACGTAGACATCTTTGAGGGGGCCATTATTCTGCCTACAACAGGTGTTAGAATCTTTTGTGAAAAGTAAGGATCCTAATCTTGAAATAGGTCATTCTGTTCTCCGAGTGGAGGTGACCCAAGGAATATGTTCAGGCGAAGGAAGAGTGTTTCTTAAGAAACAATTCTCTATCCACTTCTGTTGATGAATTAACAATGGGTGAAATATGTTGTGGTAATTAAGGACATGAATTCTGCACAAACTTGGTTCAAACCTTTTTTTTAATTCTCTTTGATCTCTGTTTTGTATATTTAGCTTATTTAGACTGCTTCCTTTTTTTACCCCTCTTATAAACAAATCTGTGATGAACATCTACATAAAAGAAATTATTTCCCGTACATCAGTTTCCTTGGCATAAATTCTTAGAAGTGGAATTGCAAGGTCAAATGATAGGGCAGGGCTGGCCCTGTGGCTTAGTGGTTAAGTGCACCGCTTCTCTGGCCATGCTGAGGCCACGTCCCACATACAGCAACTAGAAGGATGTGCAACTATGACATACAACTATCTACTGGGGCTTTGGGGAAAAAGGGGAAAAAAAGGAGGAGGATTGGCAATAGATGTTAACTCAGAGCTGGTCTTCCTCAGCAAAAAGAGGAGGATTAACATGGATGTTAGCTCAGGGCTGATCTTCCTCACAAAAAAAAAAAAATGATAGGGCAATATTTTGAAAACACTCACCTTGTGGAGAAATCTAATAGTGGTCAGAGATGGAATGGTCATATAATTTCATCAAGAATTGTGGTATCCTAAGAACCTGGAAACATTTAGCAAGGAGCTGGAATCAGATCCTGGGAAGTGAGAGGCGATGGAAGGGAAGGAATGAATGTCTATTCCTGTTGGGAGGGAATGTCTTTGAGACCTGGATTACTGTGAAACAACCCACATTGCCCTGTTCTTTGGAAGAACACTTTTAGGGAGAGCAGTCTAGCAAGAATGAGAACTAGTGTATCTACATATGCCTGTTTGAGGATGCAGAGTGGTGGGAATCTGGTCGATTCTGCACAGGAAATAGATATTTACCATCTCCACTCACCACCTCCACTTGCTTGTGTTTAAATTATTTATTTATTTATTGTTTTTCCCCCAAAGCCCCAGTAGGTAGTTGTATGTCATAGCTGCACATCCTTCTAGTTGCTGTATGTGGGATACGGCCTCAGCATGGCCGGAGAAGCGGTGCATCGGTGCGCGCCTGGGATCCAAACCCGGGCCGCCAGCAGCGGAGCGCGCGCACTTAACTGCTAAGCCACCGGGCCGGCCCTCCACTTGCTTGTGTTTAGAGCATCACTCTAAACACGTGCATATTTTCTCTGCTCATTGCTTTACAAAGTAACTCATTTATTTACATTAAGACAAAAAGACATGGGATATTGATTCTTAGCTATACATTTTTGAGGAGTGGAGAATATACTTGGCTTAACAAATAAATAGACCTTCTTGCCAAAAATATACAGGTTCAGAATCTCAGAACTGTGGTTTAAAGAAGAAACTAACAATTTTTTTTTTTTTAAGTGGGAATGCTAGTAAACGGAAGGATTGTTCTCTTTCGAACATGGATAAACTGTAATTATTCTGGTTTATCTAGATGAAATCACACCTCCGGAGTTAAAGATTGTGAACCATTTGGGATGAACCTAAGCTCTAGAATCCTAACAGGTTTAGATAGTTCTGGTGGTGGAAAGTCTTCATCAAGTACTTATTTTAAGGTTTATGATAAAATCCGTGTGAAGAGTTGTTACAAGATCCTAGCCAGAGAGGCTTGGGAAGTTTGAGGCAGATGTACTGGTACTATAGAGCTGAGAAGTGAGTTTCCTTGTCAGTTAAGATAGTTCCTCTCACACAGAGCAATATTATATCCCCATTTTTATCCATACGTGGTTGTACTGACATCTAAACCCAGGCATCCTGGAAGATATATCATGTTTTTAAGGTATAGTTTATTCTGCTGCAACAGGTGTTTCCCTAACCCCAGTTAGCTCATATGCAATTGATAAACAGGAGAATGATGTCAGTAAAATGTGGCGATTACATTGGTTCATTTGCAGTTTTCCCTAGGCAAGGGGATCGGAATAGAGGGGTAGAATTACAATCTTCATTAGGAAAGGAAAAAGCTCTTAGCTGGAGTGTTGCACAGTTATGTGCCCTGTTGGCTCTATTTGAAGAAAATTTCATATGAAGCAAACTTCATATGAGCGCTTGCACCAGGGCCTCCCTCCCCAGTGAGGTGTACCTCAGCTTTGCACAAATCTCAGATGGCAGGCTGCACTTTTCTCTGTGCTCAGCAGTCATAAACCAGCATCTCGGCTCTCTTGTTTTTGTGCGTTTAAAACAAACATCTCTGTAAAAATATGGTTAATGACTTTGCTGTATAGAAATAAAGCCATCTTTCAATGTCTATAAACTAGGTAAAGGAGAAAATGGCTTAGCTTGGATCACTGCCCTCTCTAAACGCTCATACACTGAGGCTGAACCATGCAGCCCAATACATTGCAAACATTCTTGTTTCACTTTCCTACTGACTCATGTGAAATGCACCTTCCCAGATGTGCTGTGGCCACCTCAGGGGTTGTGCCAGTACTGTGCGTCATTTACATGGGACTAGCACAGAGTAGTACCCAAAGCATTCAGTAAATATTTTTCCAACTCAAATTACATGACTGAAAACACAGATGAATTGAATAGTTCATTGAACTGATTTGTTTCAAATAACTGTCATTACAAAATTTTACCTTGTAGACAACTAAAAGTGGATATGCCTTTATATTTGTATTGATCTTTTTTTTTCCTTTTTTTCTTTTGGTGAGGAAGATTAGTCCTGAGCTAACGTCCGATGCCAATCCTCCTCTTTTTGCTGAGGAAGATTGGCCCTAGGCTAACATCCATGCCCATCTTCATGTACTTTATATGGGATGCCGCCACAGCATGGCTTGACAAGCGATGCGTCTGTGCGCACCCGGGATCCGAACCGGGGAACCCCGGGCCGCCGAAGCAGAGCGCACGCACTTAACCGCTGCACTACCGGGCCGGCCCCTGTATTGATCTTTAATAAATATCACACATACTATTTATTGAGCACCCACTGTATACAGAGAACCCTATCTGCACATCATATGCATCATGTGATTTAATCGTTAGTGCTCGGTTTTGGCAGAACTAGAATCCCATCCAACTTAGTCATCAATATTCTTGCTCTTTTATGCATTGTACTGTGCTGCCAACTTTGCAGTTTTCAAAGGGCGTTTACATTTGTTGTCTATTATAATATGCATAAAAATCTTGTATGGTAGGTGTTGTTAATTCCATTTTAGCAAGAAACTAATAAATTTGGGAACTAATATTTAAAAAATAAATTTAAAAACAACTTTTTATTTTGAGATAATTGCAGATTCTCATCCAGTTGTAAGAAATTATACAGAGAGGGGCCGGCCCTGTGGCTTAGCAGTTAAGTGCGCGTGCTCTGCCACTGGGGGCCTGGGTTCGGATCCCGGGCATGCACTGATGCACCGCTTCTCCGGCCATGCTGAGGCTGCGTCCCACATACAGCAACTAGAAGGATGTGCAGCTATGACATACAACTATCTACTGGGGCTTTGGGGGAAAAATAA